TACATATTACCCATGATTCAAGTACGCCACATGAAGTATGTATTTCTACCTCTCAGTGATGTGCTGACTGTTTCCTGCAAAAATCTCGTTTGAATGAGTAAATATTTGTTTATAACCAGAAAAATACTCGAATACACTCATTATTAAAAGGTGCATAATTAACTCAATGCAAACAAAATAAACCTGTTATACCCACACAGTCCCTCTATCCCTCTATTAGAGGGACTGTCAATGTGTTATAAACATAACAATTATAATGTAACGAGAGAAAACAAACCTAGAGTAATAAAATCGCTGCAATAAGAAATAAACTCATTGTGAAGAGAAAAATAAACTTTATATAAATTAAAGATCTAGATATCTTTGTTATAACAAAAAAATAATTCCGTAATAAGAAGACAAATAAATCCATTTAGTTGCACAATAATGTCGTCACGGTGAGAAATCAACTCGTTATCAAGAGAAATCAACGTGTTCTAAAGTGAACAACACACTCGCTACAACGATAAATAAACTTGTTATAAATATAAATTTAAGCTTGCTGAAAAGTAAAAGGTAAACTCGTTATATCGAGAAAAAAACAACAACAAAAGAATCTGAAGCAAGCTCACTCATTGGTTATAAGTGAACACACCTCATTAAACATTCAAGTGGCGTACCGTACGTACCGCGGCGGATGTTTATGTTGCTACGCACTATTGTTTAATGCACGGCTGACTATTTTGTTGGTAAAACAATAGTGCACGTGACATTAGTGGATGTTCCGCTCATTGCGAGATCCCGTGAGATATCCTGACAAAGGTTGCCAGCCACGTGACACAGGTCAAGCTTTGGTTCAAAATTGCGCCCTAAGTTGCATAACGTTGTGCATTGTTTTCTTACATTTATATGTAAACTATTTACTACTTTGTAAAAGACTTTTTTTAACAGTTATTTTTTTCTTTTTCCGTTATACTTTTATTTTTTGTTGTTGTATTTTTTGTATTTTGAATATATATTTTCTGTATCTTTTAATCTTTATTGTATGTTAGTCCAGATCTCAATGGAGATAGGTTGACAATAAAGTTATTATTATTATTATGCCAGATGACGTAAAACCATGCCAGAGGTAAACGCACATCTCACCTGATATTTTCTATTATTACATGCCTTCATCCGCCCGCCAATCAAACACACACATTAGAACAGGAACATCAGGGGATGTTTGCGGTCCAGTGAGCCATGTACGGACCGTCGTCAATAGCAACAGATCAAAGAAATTCCCGGAACTACTCGGTACAGCGACGGACATCAGGTTCGGTGGTTTTAACGGTACTTTGCTTCTGGTGTGATTTTATAAAACCGTCCACTTCGTCTGGTACTTCATTTTCTGGTGCTGGTCCAAGAATTTCATCAAGATGACCCTGTCCTATCGACCGCAACCACTGCATAATATCCATTTCGTCTGCTGCAGCCATTACCGTCTGCAGGTTGTCAAGGGAG